TCCCGTTGCATCTTCCGACGCCACTCCAAGGCCGTCCGTTCTTGGACGGTGGACAGGTTCGGGCCCAGCATTGCGGATATGGTTCCCTGGGCATCCCACCCGTGGCCCAGGTAGAACGGAGTGTCCAACCTTGCAGCGTTGACCGAGGTATTCAGAGCGAACATGAGACGTTCTGCATGCTCGTCCCAGTCGCTCTGGTCAACTTCAGCGACGTACGCTCTGAAACTTCGCATTACCGTTTGGACTGAGCGTTCTTGCTGTCTGTTGGCCTGAGGTCGATATCCTAACGTCGCACGCTGCTTATTTTTCAACAGGTCTCTGAATCTAGCGAGGACCTTGCTCATGAAACGGGGGTCCTGATCATGCCTGATCATTGAACTCGCCCCAAACTTCTGAATACACACTCTTCGTACGCCTCAGCGACATCTTGGGCTTCGGTATTCCGCATAGGTTTGCACATGACATATCCTGAAAATTGATCCTGGAACAGAAACAAGTAGGTATTGCCACGGTCGGACTCAGGTAGCTCCGTGACGAAATCCATAGAGACCACCTCGAACGGATATCTTGGTTCGATATTGCCCGGTGATGGGCCGAGAACCGGTGGTCGCCCCTTGGCTGACGCGCAATCTACGCATTCTCTCACGAACTTCTGTACATCAGCGTACATCCCGATCCAGTAGAACTCTGAACGTAATCGCTCAAACGTCCTGTTGATTCCTTGATGGCCGCCTTGAAAGTCTTCGTGCGAGTAGTGTAACATGTCGGCACGTAAAGTGTCTGGGACTACCAGCCTGAGTTCTGACTGTTGGTTACGAGGTCTCTCGGGAGTGGGTGTGCTCAGCCTGTAGAGGGCATCTCGCGAATCTAACACAAACTGATAAGAGACCTTTGCAACCTTCTTTACCTGGTTCCGTGGAAGATCTGGCACGTCCCCTTTTAGGACCTTCTTCATTTGCTGGATCTCCAAGTCCCCGTCTTGATGAACCTTGATTCTCCTCCAACGCTCATCCTGATATCCAGACAGGTCTACAGGAGTTCGAGAACCTACGCCCGCCTCCGTTCGTGACCTCGTCATCACCATCAATACTTCAGCAGCGGTAGCTAAGGACTCAGGTATTTCGGCTTTAGAGTTACACGTCCCCAATTCAACTTGGTCGGAGCGAACCGCATCAGTCACAGGGGTACTTAGGACTTCCGAAGGCTTCATGATCTTTTCAGTGATCCTGGATACGAGACGTAGGTGCACTATCTCATCGGGAACGTCGAGATCCCAGGATTCTCCGAGCACGAGAGTCTTAGAGGTCAGGTAGTCGGCCGCTTGGTTAAACTCACGTTTAACATGAATCAATTTAACTGACACAAAATCCTTCCTGAGATCTTCATACTCAGCTAAGCGTCGTTGCAGGTTGGGCTTGTTGCAATTGATCAGACCCTGAGCATGTTGGACGACAATCCCGGAATCTCCGACTGCCGCAAGCTCCTCGACATCGTACTTCAGTGCGAGCTTTAGTCCCAGAATCAGGCCATGATATTCAGCATCATTGACTGTCACGCCTTCGAGGATGTGTCCTTCAGCTTTCACGACCTGCCATCCTGGCAGCTCCCACAGTATACATCCACAACTTCTTCGGCGAATAGAAACCTTCGCCGCGCCATCAAAACTCAGCACGTAACCTTCGTAGTCTGCGTCCAACATTTCCAGACTAACTGGTGGCATCACGTTCAGACGCCCCTTGGCAGGAATCAGGGTTTCTGCAACTTCATCTAGATGTTCTCTGGGAGTAATACCATACCCAAGGATGGCTGCAAGGCCGTCCTCATCTTTCTGAGTCCGGTGGAGTTCCAATGTCCATCTTGATAGTTCCAGCCCCCACTTCAGATGTCGCCCATTTGCGGAGTTGGATTGTAGTAGCCACTTTAATACAGAGTAGCGCGTTTACACCACAACTGGGAATTCTGATCCATTGATCAGAAGTCTGAAAACTTCTAGAGTCCGCAAGATTGCGAGCACTTTCTTCTCAGCTATGTGGTAGCGTAGCTCTGATCCTTTCAACACCGTGCCAGTGAATCGTACTGGGTGTATGAGTCCATCATGCTTCTGACCCAAAACTGCACACACCGCCCACGGGTTAGAATGCGGAATGATCACAAAAGGCTTGGTTCTGTCTGGATGTCGTAGCAACGGAGTCGACACGATCTTACGTTTCAGTATCTCGAAAGATTCCCTTGCGGCTTCCAGGTTCCGTCCGGCACGTACACGTTCTTCGTCTAGTTCGTAGAGTATAGCAGCAACTACTGGTAAGTCTTCAATAAACTTATTGTAGTAGTTCAGGCTTCCTAAGAAGGACTGTACTCCCTTGTACGTCGACGGGAAAGACAAGTCGTCTATGCCTTTGACGATCTTCGGCAAGGCTCTGATTCCGTCCGCGCTCACTTCGTGAGAGAGGAAGGGGATAGTCAATTTTCCGAATTCACTTTTGGGTAAGCTTACAGAGATATTCCAATATCGTAACCTGTATAACAACG